TCGCGTTCGACGTCTTCTTCTACGCGAACCTCGTATTCGGGAACCTCCACGGCTTTCGAGATCCAGAAGGGCGGGTACTGGGCACGCTCGCGTATGTGCTCGAGCAGCTCAGCGCCACCGCCGGCATACGTGACTGGACACGCGACGTATTCGTCCGGCACGGCGAGTGGATGTATGCCGGCCTTCGCAGGATCTTGGATCGACTTCGTATTCGCGTTCACGCCGAGGTCGTATCGGGGCTTTCGTATAGGGCCTTGATGAGCTTGGACGTATTCATCGCCATTCACGCGCCATCCATGGGGTATGAGCCGCAGGGTATGGCACTGTGGGTTGCCGCGGGCGAGCCCGGGGTATACCCGACACAGGACCAATGGTGGCACCAGGACGTATACCGACCGCGGGGCCAGTCGCCGCATGGGAATCTAATGGACTACCGACTGGACCTCGGTATCACGGTGCAGGTCCCGGGCGTCTTGGCGGTATTTCCTCTCGCAGCCACGGGCCCGGCATCCGCGAGCAGGCGTATGAGCATCGTGCTCGGACACATCCCTGATGTCGCCATTGCGACGCGTATGGCCTCCGTGCTGCCACCTGTCCAGCCTCAGGTATCGCCGCGGATTGGCGCCATCACGGACGGGACCCAGGAGGAGGAGCCTTCGCGTCTGTAGGCTGTATGCCGTTGGCCGCTCATGACAGTATGAGTGCCGTTCCGTATGCCGCATGCCCTTGGCCGCTCATGACAGTATGAGTGCGCTCTGGCAGTATGCTCCCTGTTCCCCCGCCGGCACTGTTCGCCGAGGCTGGGCGATAGAAAAAGAAAGTATGGCAGCATCGCGACAACCATCGGGACAACCATCGGGACAACCATCCGAACAACCATCGGGACAACCAGCGGGACAATCATGTGGACAACGATCGGGACAACCATAACCATCAGGACAACTATCGGGACAACCATGGGGACGACGATCGGGACAACCACGATCATCAGGACAACCATCGGGACAACCATCGAGACAACCATCGGGAAAACCATATCGTCTCTCTCTCTTGTGTATTCCCACATCCCTCAGGAATTTGCCCTAAAGATGTGATCAACCATCTTGTGCGTACGTACCATGATCATGTGTACCATGTACCCTACGGGTCATATGCAACTGATGCCTTTGCGTATTCCCACTTCGGCACAGGAATTTGATGAAAAAATGTGACGAACTCCTCTCTCTCTGTCTCTCTCTCTTTGTCTCTCTCTCTCCCGCTCTCTTCCTCTGTCTCGCCTTCTCTCTCTCAGTGTCTGTACCATGTCTAGCACTGGTAACAAAGGTATTTGTGTATCCCCACATCCGCCCAGGAATTCCACAAATGTGACCAACTATCTTGCGAGTACGTATCATCTCATGTGTGTCGTGCACACTATCAAATGTAACAGAGTTGTGTATTCCCATCATCCCAGGAACTTGACCCAAAAATGTGACCAACTCCGCTCTCTCTGTCTCTCTCTCTGTCTGCTCTCTGTCTCTCTCTCTGTCTCTCTGTATTATGTATGGTATGGCACAATTGCACCATGCTGGGCACATGCGCGCCCCGAATAAGTGACCAAGTTCTGTGGGTGTGTACCCCACGCCAGTGTAGTAGCCACGGTCGTCCGCACGCCACGAAGTGAAGTGTCCCAACGTCATAGGGCGGGAAGCTGGGTTTGGGTGGTCGCGAAGAGTCGTTTGGATATTTGGTAGAGCTTGTAATGCCCCCCCACGAAGTGGGGGTATTGTCTGGTGTCGTATGAAAACCCTGGCACTGGGGAGAACACCACGCGTTCGGGTAAAATGATTGTTGTTGTTGTTGTTGTTGGGGGGCCGTTTTCGGCGCACCACCGAAACGCCTGAGCGTGAGCCTCAACTTCAAAGGAAAAGCAGCTGGAGCCTGGACGAGAGCGACAAAGCGGATTCAGTGGGTCCAACAATAATAACAATAAGCATATTGGAAGTAATCATCGACAACAGTGAATGTGTTGAGGGGGGCGAGAGAACGCGGGAAGTGCGGCTGGGACTTGGAGAAAGATTGACTTCGTCGGGGGGAACCTTCCCAGACCCTTTTGAATAAGTTCTGGAAAGTCTGCAGGGGGAAACCCTGCAAAAGAACCTTTTGGAGGAAGGTGTTTGGAAGACTTTGAAGAGAAACCCTCAAAACACACACAAAAAACAAAAAACACAAAAAAAAAAAAACAAAAAAAAAAAAAAAAAAAAAATTTGAATAAGTTCTGGAAAGTCTGCAGGGGGAAACCCTGCAAAAGAACCTTTTGGAGGAAGGTGTTTGGAAGACTTTGAAGAGAAACCCTCAAAACACACACAAAAAACAAAAAACACAAAAAAAAAAAAACAAAAAAAAAAAAAAAAAAAAAAAAAAAAAAAAAAAAAAAAAAAAAAAACTCGGGAGGGCGGTGTTTGAAAGAACCCTTTCGGAAGACAACCAAAAAAAACAACAAACAAAAAAAAACAAAAAAAACACAAAAAAAAACGTCCTGAGGAAGGTAACCTAAAAGTTTTGGAGAAAAAACGGAAAACTAGAAAATGGGAGCGGGCCGGAAGCTTACCACACATCTCCACATCACCGGAAGATACAAGACACAATGTGCACCCGCGCTGAAGCCCTTGTCGCGCACCCTTCGGTCTAAGACTGAGTATGCCCACTTTCTCGGGCACCCCTGGTCCTGTCCATCTCCAGAGTTTCGGCGTGTGGCTTGCTGTCCTCATCAGGACCTGCCACAACCAACCACACGAGGCAGGCCGACGCTGTCACGAACGACACCTCCGTTTCCGACCGTGTGGAACATCACTGTGTGCAACATCCAAACCGTCAGAAATGTCAAGCGGGCTCGGTGCGATGAACGCAGACAATCGAGCTGCCTGCGTCAACCCAGAGCCGGGCTTTCCTGGGCCTTCAGATACAATGGAAGAAACAACTGGACCGCATGCTTCATCAGCCAGGGTCGTCGAAGCGCCAATGCCGCCACACAGGTGAAGGTCATGGAAAGAGTCGGTTCCCTAAGGATTGGGCTCGCCAACACCCCGACCCACCCCCACCCCAACCCTTACGAGCCACGCAGCGCGTGCTGGAAGCGAGCGGGCACGCTCGGCCTGAGCTTCCTCACACGAGCGGAACCCTAGAATTGTGAGGAGGCCCCGGGCGAAACGGGACCGGTAGACCTTCCCTGCTGACCTCAGAAAGCCCAGGGTTCACTGGGGACTGGTCTCCCTCCAAAACAACGAAGATCCTCCCAAAACCCTTCCGAAACCCTCCGAAAACCCTCCTGGAATCCTTCCCGGAGGGCTTTCGGAGGGTTTCAGGAAGGTTTCGGCTATTTTGAAAGGAAACCAGTCCCTAGCGAACACTGGATTTTCCAATGCTAACCCCCAGGGATCCGGCCAACCCTCTTGGCCAAGCCCCCCGGGTCAACCCTGGTCGCACAAATTCTTTCTATAAGACTCAAGAAGTAAGTGATGAGGGCAGGTAGGCAGGGCACAGAGAACTTGGGAGAAGTTACAGCTAGAGTGAGTGCAGGGGCATGGGCAGGCAGGAGCATCACTGGAGCGGGAGCAGCAACAAAAGCGAAAGGACAACGAGGAGGCACAAAACGATCACAGGAAAGAAGAAGACAGCTGTCATCGCAACAGTGATCAACCCAAAGATGCGCGATAGGCTCGCGTGAGAACGCTGGCGAGTTGGAAAGGATCTGTGGAGACATGAAACGGGGATCGAATAGGAACAGTCAGGAGGGCTAAGAAAGAGGAGACAGTGAGCAGGAGGGTGAATGAGGTAGGAAAAAGGCGGGAGGATAGACGGACGAGGGCACTAGAGGGTGGAAGGAGAAATGGGGTGAGGGGTGCGGAGGGAGGGAGGGAGGGAGGTGAGAGGAACAAGGAGGGAGGAAGAGGGAAAGCAGGAGAGATGTGGCTTCAGAACAGCATCAGGATCCACAGCAACGACTTGCTCTACGCACAGCGACACGACTGAGGCATGAGCTACGATGATGCACGATGCGTGATCGCAGGCGCGCACCCAGAAGCAGCCGCAGCATCGCTCTCGAGTGTGAACGCCCGGCCCCGAGCAACGTACGCTGCCCGCCCGAGGGGGCAACCACACTCAACGCATCGGAACACCATGCGGCAAAGCGTCACCGAGGTCCCCCAGACGTCAGCAGAGGGAAGAAAATCCACCCCCAGAATGAGCGCCCCGACGAGCGAAGCCGCGCCCAGGGAAGGACTCGAGCAGGGCAAGGCTGTTCAGTAAACGCCCGGGGGCCGCTCCTCCTCCTCCTCCTCCTCCTCATCCTCTCCTCCTCCTCCTCCTCCTCCTCCTCCCTCCTCCCTCCCCATGCTCCTCTCCTCCTCCCCTCCTCCTCTCCTCCTCCTCCTCCTCCTCCTCCGCCTCACTCATCCCGCCTCCTCTTCCTCCGCCTCCTCCTCCGCCTCCTCCGCCTCCTTCTCCGCCTCCTCCTCCTCCTCCTCCTCCGCCTCCTCCTCCTCCTCCTCCTCCTCCTCCTCCTCCGCCTCCTCCTAATCGTCGGGGTCTGGGTGGCTTCTCCTCCCCGGAGTCCGGGGCACCGACCTCGCGCTGCCCCCTCGCCTCGAGGCCCCGCAGCCCTGGGCCCTCGGCCGCGGTACGGGAGAAGACACCCAGGAGGAGCCAGCGACGACGAGGAGGGGAGAAGGGCGGCTTGACCCCTTGATCGGCTTGACTTTCACAGGTGCGCCGTCCTCACCTTCATGCTTCTGCTGGCTCTAGCCGACGATCGGTTGGCTCCACGAGCATGGCAAAGCAGCGAGGAGGAGAGGACGACCCAAACATCCGGCTGCTCCAACTTTTTCGATGCATGGGCCCCGGAGGTCTGGACCACTTCTCCAGGGCCGGATTTTCGTCCTGAGTCCATGCGTACCCGCCCGCTCCAATTTTTCTGGGGCGCCGGCATCTCTGGGGGGGGGAGAGAGCGCGGAGGGTCCTGCGGGGCGCCTGCGTCCTCCTCGCCCTCCACCCTGCCGCTCGGCGGCATGTACACGCCCCCGGCGCGGCTTCTCCAGGCGCCGCGGCGAGTGCTGGCCCAGGCGCCCTCCGTGCGGTCCCGGCACGGCGAGGGCGACCTGTTCAGGAAGCCCTCGTGGTTCCACCGGGACTCCCCACTGCCGCGGGCGCCGCCATCGGGCCCGTCCGCGGCCCGCAGGTACTCCCGGTACCTCCAGCCGGACATGGGGGAGAACAGGCTCCTCCTCCTCCTCCTCCTCCTCATCCTCCTCCTCCTCCTCCTCCTCCTCCTCCTCCTCCTCCTCCTCCTCCTCGTTCCCCAATTCTCCTCCTCCCCCCCTCTCCCCTCCTCCTCACTCGCCCTCCACCCCTCCTCCTCCTCCTCCTCCTCCTCCCCCTCCTCCTCCTCTCCTCCTCCCTCATCCCTCCCCTCCTCCTCCTCCTCCTCCTCCGCCTCCTCGCGCCTCCTCCTCCTCCTCCTCCTCCGCCTCCTCCCTCATCCTCCTCCTCCCTACCTCCTCCTCCTCCTCCGGCATCCTCTGGGCGGGGCATGGGGGAAAGCAGGAGGTGTAGGAAAATAAGCACAGAGGAGCAGGAAGAGAGGATTGCGGGTGCGGGAGGCCCGGGCAGGGCGACGGAGCAAGACAGCAGAGGAAGAGAGAAGGCAGAGGAGAGGGGAGGAGAGGCGGAGGAGAGGAGCGGAGGAGGAGGAGGAGGGGAGAGGAGGATGAGGAAGAAGGAGGAAGGAGGAGGAGGAGGAGGAGGATGAGGAGGAGGAGGACGACGACGACGAGGAGGAGGAGGAGGAGGAGGAGAAGAGAGAGAGAGAGAGAGAGACGGAGCCCTGAGGGGAGGTGGAAGCAGCGAGGAGGAGGCAGGAGAAGCGAGAAGAGAGGCGCGAGGGCGGTGAAGGGAGTCGGGAGGGCGAATGAGAGAGGGGGGGTCTGAAGAGAGGAGGGAAGATGAGTGAAGAGGGTGGGAAGCTCGAGGCGAAAGGCGGAGAAAGTAAGAGGGGAGGAGGGAGCGAAGAATGGAGCGGGGAGCAGGGCAAGAGAGGAATGGAGGGGGAGAAAATTTTCCTGGCGAAGGACCCAACCATATGCAATTGTAGATACCGCAACGTGGTTGGCTACCGCTTTCGGTGAAGCTCCTTGTGTGTCTCATGAGGCCACAGAACGCGTGAGGAGTGTGCCGTCGGGATGGTGGGGGGCCGAAATGGGGTAGGGAGACGCATGTGAACCCTGCCGCTGGGGCCTTAGGTGGAGCCCTCCCTGGGCCACGAAACGCTGTACTGGGCCGGGGAGACGCATACGAACGTTGCCACTAGGGCCTTCGGTGGGGCTTCCCATGGGCCACGAAGGTTTGCAGCGGAGGTGAGACGGATGTGAACCTTGCCATTGGTGCCTTCGGTGGAGCTCCCTCTGGGCCACGAAACGCTGCAGTGTTTGGCGGACGCATGCGAACTTCGCTACTGGGCCTTCGGTGCAGCTCCATGTGGGGCCACGAATCGCTGCTCCCGGTGAGGGAGACGCATGCACATGTTGCCAACGGGGCCTTCAGTGGAGCGCCCTATGGGCCACGAAACATTGCACCAGGTGGGGGGGACGCATGCGAGCTTTGCCATTGAGGCTATCGGTGGAGCTCCCACTGGGCCACGCAACGCTGTAGTGGGTGGGGGAGACGCATCCGAACTTTGCCACTGGGGCCGTCGGTGGAGCTTCATGTGGGGCCACGAAAGGTAGCAGAGGGTGGGGGAGACGCATGAGAACTTTGCCACTGGTGCCATCGGTGGGGCTCCCTTTGGGCCACGAAAGGCTGTACTGGGTGGCGGAGACGCATGCGACTTTGCCACTGAGGCCGTCGGTGGAGCTCCTAATGAAGACGCGAAATGCTACTGGGTACAGGGAACGCTGGCGAACTTTGCAAATGGGGCTTTCAATGGAAACCCCACATGGGCCACGAATCGTTGTTCTGGGCGGGGGAAACGCATGCGAACTTTGCAACCAGGGCCTTCGATAAAGCCCCCTTATAGGCCACTATACGTGTGAGAGGTGTGCCGAACTGGTTGACTGATGCGGAGAGCAGAGGCGGAAAAGAGGCAGGGATGGAAAGAGGGAGAAGGGAGGAGAGGAGAGAAGGAGACGCAGAGAACAGAGCAAAATAACATGTGGCGGGATCCCTCCCCCTTCTCCTCCTCCTCCTTCCTTCGTCCTCCTCCTCCTCCTCTAATTCCTCCTCCTCCTCTTCCTCCTCCTCCTCCTTCTCTTCCTCGTCTTCCTCCTCCTCCTCCTCTTCCCCCCTTTTCTTCCCCCTCCTCCGTCTCATCATTAGAATCCACCCTCGCGAGCGTGCAAAAAAACAAACACCCAGCCACTCCAGCTCAAACATGCGGCAGCCAACTTCCACCAGCCAGCTTGTCCGAATGAGTTGCCCGGAGAACATTAAGTTGCAATTCATGGGAGCCTCCAGAACCATCCTGTTCGTTCTTGCGAATCGACGCTGGTCGACGCTAGGCGACACGAATCGACGCCAAATCGACAATAAATCCACGCTAATCGACGCTGGATGGGCGCTAACTCATCGATTACAAGTTTCTGGTCAACGCTGCTGCTTTCTGCTGACGGAATTGCGAAAGCACACAAGACTCCCACGATCTGCTACCGAATAAACGGGATGACGGCAGAAAATTGCCCCCCGCGGTCAACTCGTTCGCCAGCGGCCGGGAGGGCTCGCCAGCAGGCGCGAGAGCTCGCCCCGGGGCTCCGCGGTCCTGGAGGGCGTCGCCCTGTCGACTCGAGGCCCGGGCTCCTCGCGCGTTCTGGTCGGAATAAGATCACCGCTCCCGTTCGCGGAAAAAGGCGTGCGCAGCTACCAGCTTGAGCATATACGAAGCATGTGGTTCGGTCATGGTTGTTTTCGGGGCGCGGTCACGTCTCCTCGCTGAGTTTCTCCTCTTCCTCCTCCTGCCCCTCCTCCTCCTCCTCCTACTCCCCCTCCTCCTCATCCTCCTCATCAACATCAACATCATCATCATCATCATCATCATCATCATCATCATCATCATCATCATCATCATCATCAGCATCATCATCATCATCATCATCATCATCATCATCATCATCATCATCATCATCATCATCATCATCATCATCATCATCATCATCATAATCAGCATCATCATCAGCATCATCATCATCATCAGCATCATCATCAGCATCATCATCATCTTCATCATCATCATCATCAATCATCATCATCATCATCATCATCATCAATCATCATCATCATCATCATCATCATCATCATCATCATCATCAGCAGCAGCAGCAGCAGCAGCAGCAGCATCAGCATCAGCATCAGCATCAGCATCATCATCATCATCAGCATCAGCATCAGCATCAGCATCATCGTCATCATCATCATCATCATCATCAGCAGCATCATCAGCATCATCATCATCATCATCATCATCATCATCATCATCATCATCATCATCATCATCCCCCATCCACCTCCTCCTCATCATCCTCCTCCTCCTCCTCCCCCTCCTCGTCCTCCTCCTCATCTTCCTCCTCCTCCTCCTCCTCTTCCTCATCCTGTTCCTCGTCCTTTCCCTCCTCCTCCTCCTCCTCCTCCTCCTCCTCCTCCTCCTCCTCCTCTTTTGCCTCACCGGCCCCATGCGCAGCAGGACGGCGGGTCAGTCGAAAGCGAGGGCGGAAAGCTGCCGACGGCGGGCGGAGCGTGCGCGCGCGGCCGACTCCACAGGCATCGGGGGGTGCAGGCCCAAGGAAGGAGGGAAAAGGGCGGGAGCCAGGAGCAGGAGGGGCCGAGCGGAACAGAGGTAGGAGAGGAGAGCCAGGAGGACAGGGGGAGGAAGGCAGGAAGAGGAGAGGGGCAAGGCGGGGCGAGGAGGGCGGGGGAAGGAAGAGGAGGCGAGACAGGAGACGAGCAGGTCCTGCGCCTCCTCCTCGTTCTTCCCCTCGCCTCTGGGCCCCCTCTGGGCGCGGGCACGCGTTCAAATCCTGCGCCTCCAGCAGCGGGTTGCGCGGGTCGCGCGGCACGCGGTCCCCAGGCGGCGGCAGGGACTTGGGGCCCCGGGACGCGCTCCTGGGCAGGGAAGGCGGAGAGGACAAAGGGGAGGAGGAAGAGAAGGAAGAGGAGGAGGAGGAGGAGGAGGACGAGGAGGAGGAGGAGGACCGGTGCAAACCCAAGACTCATCAGCGATGTTGAAATACACCATCCCTCCAAGATCCCACTTAATAGGCCCCTACATGGGGTCATTTCTACTGCAGGAAGTGCCCCGTTGGGGGACAGCCGTGCGACCATCTTGAAGCGCGCCAAATCCAGAACCGTGCCATAGCACCTTTCCTGGCACTCTAACACCGCGGTAGCTGTTCCGCCCTGACATTATGGAACCGATCCTAAAAAAAACATTTCTGTACGCGGACCAAGGAAATCCGTGAAGCGTTTGCAGCTGTTTAAACGAATGTGCGCGGCAGGCGAGAGCCACCGTTTGAAAAGGAGCCCCCTCAATCCGTGAAACTCCTGCAATGTAGAAAAACAAATGCGCGCGTCGCTAAGCCGAGAGCCACATTTCAAAACGAACCACCCTCAATCCGCGAAACTTCTGAAAAGTTTTCAGACGAATGTGCGCGGCCCTAAGGCGACGGCCACATTTGCAAACCGAACCGCCCGCAACCAGAGGAACGATTGCAAATGTTTAAAAAGATGTGCGCGGCGCGAAGGCGGAGAGCCACGTGTTCAAAACGAACCGCCCTAACCTGCAAACATTCTGCTACATTTTAAAAAAAGAGTGCGCGCTGCGCTCATGCGAGCCACATGTTGGAAACCACCCGCCCTCAAGCCGTGAAACTCTTCCACTGTGTAAAAGCGAATGCGCGCGGCGCTAAGGCAAGAGCCACATGTTCAAAACGACCCGCCCTCAATCCATGAAACTCATGTTGCACAATGAATGTGCGCGGAGCTAAAGCAAGAATCACACTTTAAAAACCAACCACCCTCCATATGTGAAACGGTTGTCAACGTTCAAGCATCAGGGTCACAAGTGGTAACGAAATCTCAGGCGAAACAAGCGCCTGGCCCGCCCTTTCCACCGGCCTCAAGGCGCGACAGGGAGGAATTATCTGTAAGAAAAGGATCGGAAGGAGAAAGGGAGGGAGGGACGGCAGGAAGATGAGGCAGGGAGGGAGGGGGAGCAAGAAGGGGGGGGACGCGCTCCTGGACCCCGAAGGAGACGAGGGCACTGGCACAGCCGCCTGCGCTCTGGCGGCCTGCGCTCTGGCGGCCTCGATCAGAGCGTCGACCGCGTCCCCAGTAGGCGCAGGCCCACAGGC